CGTCGAGTTGTGCCCGAAGCACACTTAACTCTTCCTCGCTCATTCGGTAGATGCAACCGCGCGGAGGTACGGCCCCGTCCTCGAGAATGATCTCGTGGCGGATGGGTCGATCCGGTACTACTACGTGCGGGCCTTCGAACATGTCGCTGTAGGCGTCGAGAGTTCGGTGATGCGTGGATCCGAAGGTGAGTCCGTCGATGAAGCGTCATGGGGCGGGAGGGCGTGGAGAAAACACACCTCCATCTCCTCGATGTCGTCTCTGATGATGGAAGCTCGCATGCTTGCGGCGGATACCACGTGGCAGCTGATCGAAGGATGAGGAAGAGGCACCATGCATGGAACTAGTACCCCGTTCCGATCACGAATGTGAACGGTGCGGTGGAAGAAGTTCACCGGGTGATCCTCGCTTCGCAGCCATGACATGCCTAAGATCATATCAAATTTGGTGTCCAGAATGTCAAAGGACACCGCCTCACTTGCGTGAGGGGCAAAGTACACTGGGACGTTGTCAATGCACCGGCCGATTGACTTGTGCGTGTGACCGTCTGCCAACGTGACTTGCGTAGGCTGGGACTTCCTCCGGACGCATAGGCCAAGGCGGGCGCGCACCATGAAGTTCTGGCTGATGTAGTTGCGAGATGCTCCGCAATCGATCAAGGCACTGCAGGTCGCCTCTCCGATCTGAATGCGTACGTAGAGCAATGGTGCGTCGATGTCGTCGTACCGTTGCGTCTTGAACTCGCGATCGATCTTCGCGATGTAAGCGTGAAGGTCGACAACCTCTGCTCCGGCCTCCATCAACGGAGCTGGTACTGCAGTGTGCAAGTAATCCCGCAATTGTGCCATAAGCACGTTGCAATGCGGTTTCGACAATCGTCCGGTCGACGGAACAGGCAACCACTGGAAGTCCGTGAACATCAACGGGTCGAGCTCTTCAAGTCTTGACCATGACGTCGAATCCCCGGCGATAGATTGCGGCGAAGCTGCCGAATCGGTTCCCGATGGTGATGAAACCGTGCATGCGATGGATTGTTGCACGTGGAGCGGTTGGTCCAGTGGTGGAACCAAGTGGACAGCATAGTCCTCGTAAGTGTATCGAGGACTTGCGACATTCACGTTCTCCCCATATGTGCAGGAGGCCGCTAGCAAGGCGGCCGAATCTGGCGGAGTAGAAGGTGGAGTCGCCTCACCTTCCGCGAAGCTCAGTTTCTCGAGCTAAGGCGGGGTCGCACATCCTCCTTGCCCTGATCTTGGCACAGGGAGGTCTTGTGCTTGGTGCTGTTGCACCAATAGCAGTTGCCGTAGCGGCCGCGGACCTTGTACTCCGCCTCGGTCAAGCCAAACTTGACCCATGGAACTTGTACTAGCTGTCCATTTCCTGCCTGCGATGCGGATTTCGCCTTCCCATTGTTGCGGGACTTATTGTTGCTTCGCGGCTGGACAACAGCCACTTGATCTCCCTCACTTGATGCTGGAGTGGCTGCTGGTTTATCTCCATTGTCCGACTGGACTGCAGCGAATTGCTGCTGTCGCGGACCAATTCGTACCTTCTCCACATAGGTTGGCTGCCACGTAGACTTCTCGTATGCAGCCGGCCTGTTAGTCTTGATGAACTCTCTCGCCTTGTTGATGATCTCTGCGAAAGTGTTGTACTGCTCGCGATCACCAAGTGCGAGGCTGAGAGCGGCGCATGACATGTTGTAGAACTCACGCCGCAGATGCGGAAATGACAAGTCCAAATCGGGCGTCGCCACAATTTTCTGCCAATCCGTGAGCTAGTCACGTGTCGGTGTGCTCCCTTGAGCCATCGTGAAGATGCGGTTGACGGCGAGTGCCGGGGCGTCGTCGACGATGAACCGCTTCTTCCATTTCTTTGTCATGTCCTGCCAGGAGACCTTCTTGTACAGGTCTGAAACTTGGACACCGTGGATGGTTGCCATGTGGCTGAGCCAGATCTGACAACCTCCCTTGGTGTTGATGAACAGAGCATTAATGAACAGATGGTCAGGGACTTTGTGAATCCCCAACTCCGTTGTAAATCCTTGCCACTAGACGACCGGGTCTTGATGTGTGTAGTCATCAAATTTCTCGATCCAGAACGTCGGCATCTTGTATGGCCTCGCCGAGCTGTTGTTGTGGTTGTGGTCAGTCTACTGTTGCTGACTGATCTTAGTGTCCAACAACTCGAACCGCTGGCTGATGGTGGCCGGCTCTGTGAAGGCACTTATGTCTCCTAGCATTGCCACTATGTGGTCAACACGTTCCTCCAGTTGGCGGCTAGAGGATGCACTGCTGGAAGCCCCAGCATCTGGTCTTGGTACAGCCTGTTCCAGGCCCAGTACACGGGCGTCTAGTGCCAGTGTGGCATCCTCGTGCTGAGTCTTATGATTCCGCACGGCCCGCTGGAGGTTTGCCTGCTCACGAGCTTGGCCATGAGCTCCTTTTGCTGTTCTTCCGGTGTTGGCTCGTTGCCGTTCGGTTCAAAATGCCAGTACTTGAGTTTCTCGATGCTGTTGGCTTCATGCCGCTGCAGCAGAGCCTGGGCTTCCTTGCGGCGAGCCTGGGCATCTGCGTCTGCTTCGGCCTGTAGTCGCAGCCTCTCTGCTGTTGCCACTTCATGAGCCTGTAGCTGCACAACCTTGACTGCCAGCTGGCGTTGTTCCTCAGCCTCGATTGCAGCGAGTTGAGCATGGACGCGCTTTTTGTAGTCGGCAATGGGCTCATTGGCCAGCTGGCCTGGCAGACCCGTCATGTTGTTGATGTGGCACTGCTGACGTGGCACTGCTGACGTGGCACTGCTGATGTGGCACTGTGTCTGACGTGGCACTGTGTCTGACGTAGCACTGCTTACGTGGCACTGTGTCTGACGTGGCACTGCTGATGTGGCACTGCTTACGTGGCACTGTGTCTGACGTGGCCTGTTGACGTGTCAGTGTAGCTGACATGTCCTGTTGACGTGCCTGCTGACGTGTCACTGTACCAACCCGGAAATGCATGCAAAGGGTGGGTGGGAGGGAATAACGCAGGTAGGAAACCAACCCGACAATACTTTCCTCCGGCCCTAATCAACAGATAAAAAATAAAA